CTTAAACAATAGAAAATTACAACATTTTACCTAATTAAGCTGTTAGTAGTGTCTAAAACTAAATCATTTGCAGTCAAAATTTCTCGCTCAAAATTTCTTGTGTTGAAAAATTGAAGTACAAAAAGTGCTAGAAATTTGAAAACTTTATTAAATGTAGTGCAAGTTTTATTTTTTTTTTTTTTACACTAAAGTAGCGTTTTTGAAAGAAGTCTTAAATTTATCATCATGCTTTCGTAGCTCTTTTATTCTCTTGTAAAAGGAAATTTCTAAAGTTTCCTAGTGTTTATACTCTTTATTGAGCGGAAGTTATAGTCAGCAATTTATAATTCATATCACATATTATGGCCATGTTACTGACATTGGTTTTAGATCTGTTCTTTGTAAGCGAGATATAAAATTTAGTGCTATATATATCAATCACTAAATTGACTATTTCGTGTTATAATCAACAGTTATGAATGATGGTGAAGATGAGTATAATATTCGGCACTGTTTTACAGTGGAAGCATTAAACAGCGAAAGCTAGACAAAAAATCTTCATGTAATAGCATTTTCTATCTATTTGCTCATATTTTTTTAAGTTTACAGAAATTATGAGGAACCAAAACAGGTAGTAAAAAACTGTACAAATAACACTACTAAATAAAGTGCGTTAATAGTTCAAAGATGAAGCAGCACAACAACAAAGTACGAAGCTCAAGTTTTGCCTAAGAATTTGATCAGCAATATTCGGGAAACCAGAAGCGATTTCCTGTCGGCTTTTATGTTTTTGCGTGACACTGAAACTAGGAAATCGAAAGACAGAGTGTAGCTGGCTAACACTACGCCGCAACTAATAGAAAGTATGTCTTTAAGCAAATATAATTTGGTTAAATAGAATTAAAGTAAAAATCTAAAACAAAATATACCATTTATTTAAAAAAATTTTTGAATTTTCTGGTGATAAACTTACTAACATCAATTGAAGTGATTTTCAAATTTGACTATTCAACTGTAAAAAATGTAATTTTAAGCCTTTAGATAAACAAGTTTCAACAAATAGAGTTACCTTTTGATCAAAGCAGACAAGCAAGAAATCATTAAACAAAGTTATCTTTTATGCCAAAATTTTATTCCAGGTACCACAGCGACAAAACGTTGCAGTGAAAGGTCTGCTCAAGGTTGAATGTTTTTAACAGTCTTCTATAAAACACTAAAATTTCTTGGTTGAAAAGATACACGATGACAAAGAAAAGCAGATAGAAAACTATCAATCAACAACGCGACTTTAGCAATGAGTAGTAAAGTATCTCAAATAAAAATTCAATCAAAAAAAATTACTTAACTGTTGTGTTCTCTAAAATAGAATTCAGAAAAAAATTGATCAAAAGTGTTTTTTTAACGTTTTCTAATTGGCTTCACAGTTTTATATAAATAAAAACGTCACAGTGCACCAACAGCTTACAATAAGCATAGTTATACAATAGAAATTATTTATCTATAAAAAACTAAATATCTTTTTCTAGAAGAAGTTTTTTAGCTGACGGGTAAGGTTTAAAAATTTTAAAAAGTCATATACTGTCACTCACAAAAAATTTCAAACATCGAATTGTTGAAATTTGAATATCAAAAGCAAAAATGAAAATAGAACTTGTTTAGATTTGTTCAAATGTCTTATAAAACCAACTTTTCTGTTATAAAAATATTTGAATGAACTTTTCGGAGTAAATGGCACCAAACTGTCATTGTAGGTAATGCAATATTAAAGCTTTATGCTTTTTGAAACTGAAGACAAAGGCACTTTGCGCAGCTGAAACTGGTCTGATTTGAAGAAGTAAACTAAGAGCTATATCAATTGAGCCGCCTGTTTTCGTATTTACCTAGTTTAGGAAAAATATTGTTTGAGTCTACAAGTGTAGTTGTAGATCAAAGTGGTTTATTATATGGCATCTTGATTTTGTGGTTGTCAACGGTACAGCAAATTCAAATATATGCTGTGCCATACGCTAAATGTATCAGACTTGGGAAGGCGTGTCAGGCCTGACTGTTTACAAAGTAACTATCATTCTAACCATGTAATTCATCTTTATGTTATACAAATTTTGCAAGTGAACCTGGTCAGCAAATGAGGGTTACTGTAATGTATCCAA